TACGATACTCGTTATGGCCGTCAGCTATCTTTTATTTCTAGTGCGGTGTCACCGGTCCTGTATAAGCTTCCAGGATCGAACTGAATTTGACCTTCTAGAAATATTGCAAGAGTGAAAAGCTGACCAAAGAAAATGAGAGGGGAGTTAATGCAATTTTATTCGCTCATTTGCAATACTTCATTTCTTAGCCTCGCCCTATTAATTTGCCATTTAGATATCTGCACACTTCTTCCTTACTTTTTAAGAATCTATCACTAAACTGTAATTTCAACCTCTATATGATCTCACAGTCCCTGATAAAGTTTTGCATAATGGACTGTAAAAATATCTTCCCCACCAACTCTAGAAATCTGGAGGCTCAGATTCCTTTCCCATACCAGTTTTTTACGCATCGTCAGGTTATTGCTTAAGTCTTCCGGCCAGACGGAAAATACTCACTTGGTAACAGCCTTTTGGCTGCGTACGTTAAAATTATTGGTCTACTGTGTTTAATGACCACGAAATTTACCAAGGAAGGTTTTTTGAAAAATGTGCATATGAAAAAAATGGGCTATTTCACCCCAAATGCACAGTTTCAGTTGACCTCTCAAACTTTTTTCAATTTTTGCTGGCTTTAGTAGGACTCAATGCTGGATTTCGCAACCAGAAGAGTTTACCTCAAAAAACGTGCTTGGTCACGAAGTCAGACCGTTCGTTTTAAAGTGGGAAAAAAAGCAGTTCTTGCTAAGCATGTTTTTTGTTCTTTCGCAATGGATTTTTCTAATTTTCACTGCGTTTGGGAGGTCTTCTCGCGCAAACGTAGAAAAGTGGTGAAATTTTACGCTGACGAGTTGCACAAAAAATTACGATAAAACGAGAACTCATGTTTTTTCTGAAAAATTTTATTCTAAATTTTCCAAAAAAGTCATATTTCATAGTGGCATGATTTCTTTATAACATATTACAATTACCAGATGGTATTTTTATGGTACCATTAGTTATGATTTGATTAGCGAGAATAGACCGCAAAAAAAAGCCTGAAGTTTATGCACCGTTTTACAGCTTC